AGGATGATGGTGATGATGATGATGATGAGGATGATAGTGATGATGATGATGGTGACGATGAAGGTGATGATGATGAGGGTGATGATGATGAGGGTGATGATGATGATGGTGATGATGATGATGGTGATGAGGATGGTGATGATGATGATGAGGATGGTGATGATGATGATGGTGATGAGGATGATGATGGTGATGATGATGGTGATGAGGATGATGGTGATGAGGATGATGGTGATGATGATGATGGTGACGATGAAGGTGATGATGATGGTGATGATGAGGATGATGGTGATGATGATGGTGATGGTGATGAGGATAGTGATGATGATGAGGATAAGGATGATGGTGATGAGGATGGTGATGAGGATGGTGATGATGAGGATGATGGTGATGATGGTGATGAGGATGGTGATGATGGTGATGAGGATGGTGATGATGATGATGATGATGGTGGTGATGATGATGGTGATGAGGATGATAGTGATGATGATGATGGTGGTGATGATGATGATGGTGACGATGAAGGTGATGATGATGGTGATGAGGATGGTGATGATGATGAGGATGATGATGAGGATAAGGATGATGGTGATGATGATGGTGGTGAGGATGGTGATGAGGATGGTGATGATGAGGATGATGGTGATGAGGATGGTGATGATGGTGATGAGGATGGTGATGATGATGAGGATGATGATGATGGTGATGATGATGATGGTGATGATGAGGATGATGGTGATGATGATGATGATGATGATGATGGATGATGATGATGGTGATGATGAGGATGATGGTGATGAGGATGGTGATGATGATGATGGTGATGAGGATGGTGATGATGATGATGAGGATGATGGTGATGATGATGAGGATGATGGTGATGATGATGGTGATGATGAGGATGATGATGAGGATGATGGTGATGATGATGATGATGATGATGATGGATGATGGTGATGAGGATGGTGATGATGATGAGGATGATGATGATGAGGATGATGGTGATGATGATGATGAGGATGATGGTGATGGTGATGATGATGAGGATGATGATGATGGTGATGATGATGGTGACGATGAAGGTGATGATGGTGATGGTGATGAGGATGGTGATGATGATGATGATGATGGTGATGATGATGAGGATGATGGTGATGATGATGATCAGGGGTGTGATACTTTCTGATTATCGATATGCATTTGCCAAGTATCGATATCGATTTTGAAAAAAAAAATGTTTTATTTTTATTTTTACAATTTTTATTTTAAAATTGGTATCAATACTTATTATATGGCTACATTACGCATCTCCATTCCATTTATCATGAAATAAAGAGTATTTTTTATTTTATTTATGCCATAAATTTGCATATTGTATATTTCTGACCAATATATCGATAATCGTCATATCGTGATAATATCATATCGTGATAATATCGTATCGTGAGCTGTGTATCGTATCGTGAGCTGTGTATCGTATCGCGAGCTGTGTATCGTATCGTATCGTGAGCTGTGTATCGTATCGTGAGCTGTGTATCGTATCGTGAGCTGTGTATCGTATCGTGAGCTGTGTATCGTATCGTGAGGTACCCTTAGGTTCCCACCCCTAATAATGATGATGGTGATGATTATGATAGTTGCACATTACAGCAGAGGAGCGCTTCTCAGCAAGAAGGTCCTGGGTGCTCCGGTTTCCTCCAGGTGCTCCGGTTTCCCATACCACTAAAACCATGTACAATAGTTCTGAGTTGAGTGTAATGAGTGAATGGCATGGCGTCGTATGTGCGTCTGGTGCACTCTGGTTTTTCTGCAAATGCCAAATAAATTCTTGAATGGATGATGTTGGAGGCTTTTGTCCAGTGTGTTCGGCGTCTCGCTTCTGAACATTGTGAAGTTTTTTGGGTGAAACCTTGGTCTGAAATGTGTGTGATATATAAATAATCCTGACTTACTTCTACATCAGTACTTTGTATGAGGACGATCTGGCTACGATCCCAAAACTGGCGGAGAAACTGACTTTGGAGCTGGTGCATCACATTGAGGTAGATTGTCAATATTAATTAAATAGTAAATTAACAAAGTCAATTGTAATGTTCTACATTTTTATTGTTTAACTCTTGTAGCTTTCCCTGCCTCGACTTGAAGAACAGATAGAAGAGAAACTGGCCCAAACTCATCTGGAGCTGGAGAGATACGGCAGAGGACCTCCGTCTGAAGCTGGGCAGAGGCTGATCTTCCTCATGGATGTGAGCCCAGAGGGTCATGAACTCATTATGTTTAAAATATCAGTGTGGCCTAGCACTGATATAACATTATGAGTTCATTAAGGGTTAAAGTAGATTTCATTTATTATCATTATTTTTTATTGCGTTTTGTATTTTGACAAATTAATTGTATTTGACATATGTTTTGTTATGAGATATTATTTTCTTGTCCATGAATGAATGATCTTGGCCCCGGGATGATATTTGATTAGTGTTTGAACCGGCCGCACAGAGACATCAGAAAATCTTGGATTATTCATTAAATGTTCAGGACGTGTGTTTTCTCTTTGAAGGAAGTTTGAGACACAAAAGGTCTGAAATATCAAACAATGCACATGAAGTGTGTCAGAAATGGTGCAGCATGAGCAGCACACACGTCTGCTCCTTCACACACACACACACTCACACACACACACACACACACACACACGCACTCACATACTGCCTGTGTGACCTGCTGGCCGGTTCTCATTTTTTTCATTTGTTTATTCATTTCAAAAATGCACAAGATTAAAATATAAGAAAAAAACAAGAAAACCTGTGCATGGTTTGAAAAGGGATCGGTCGAAGCAAAAACCTTGTAATAATCCATCCATTCAGACACAGACTACAACACAAAGAAAACCAAAGAGAACCCTACAATACTATATTAGCACCAATGGCAGCAGACGGACAAGACCAAGACACAGATTTTCATATAGATTAGCTAAACCTGAGTAAACACAAGTCACTTTGTGCGTCTTTCAGAAAGTAACAGCCTTCACTCAGGACGCTCTCAGTTTAACGACCGGAGACGAACTCAAGTGTGGAGAGAAGCTCAATGTCTTTTCCACACTCAGGAAAGACTTTGCAAAATGGAAGGATATTCTGGACAAATCTGGGACTAGCTGTAGGTTTGATGTATTTTTCACATAACTTTACAGAGACGGCTGGACACTGAAATAATAATTCTTTTGCAGTTAATAAAAACGTTGAGAAAGAAGTTGGAATTTATGAAGAAACCTATCGGGGAAAAGAGCTGCCTGGTTTCATCAACTATAAAACCTTCGAGTCTATGGTGAAGGCGCAGGTCAAACAGCTGGAGGAACCGGCGATCAGGAAGCTCAAGGAGGCAGCAGGTACTCCAACTGACAAGCTAAGCAGGGTAGGGTCTGGTTAGTACTGTGATGAGAGACCTCTGGGAACACCAGGTGCCACAGTGGGGCGGCTGTAAAGTGGGGAGTCTGGTGTGTGTGCGAATGGTTGGTGGTGGTGGAGGGCTGGTTGCCTCGCTTCTGTCACTTTGACCCAGGACAGCTGTGGCTTTCTGCATTTCTGTCATTAACATTATCCACATGAATGTTAAAATACCCTTTAATAACTAAACTATCAAAGTCTGTGCATACAGCTGAAAGTGACTCGGTAAAATTATCAACAAAACTGTGGCTTGTATAGGACAATGAAGAGTATTGGAGGAGATTGTTTTTGTTGTATTTTAAAAGACACATATTCAAATGACGAAAACTTCCCAAGAGACATTCTATGGGAGACAAAGTGGTCTCTGAAAATGGCAGCTAAGCCTCCTCCTTTTTTGTTTTCCCGTATTTCAGATTCATATTTGAAATTTGGTGGTGATGCTTCTATTAAAACTGCATTTCCCCTATTTTAGTCAAGCCAAGTTTCAGCCATGAACATAAGATCAAGATTATGAGGACAAATAAAATTATTATTAAAAAGGACTTGTTACAAACAGATCTGACATTAGGCATAGTACGTTTCAAAGTATCAGCGGTTGTGGTCGGCTGATTCTTACACGGAACAAGAATTAGATTTTCCAGATTAGACTGATTAACTCCAGATGTTTTTCTGTAATGTATTCTTTGTGTTATCACTAAGGGAATGGCACAGGTGGCTTCATGACAGGGCCCCAGCCGGGTCTCTCCTCTAACTAGACTGCCAGTGGCTGCGAAGCAGAGACCCTGTGCATCCTAGTGTTTAGAGAGAAGAGGGGAAGGGGAAGGCGGGGGAGGAGGATGGAGAGGTGGGTGGCTTTTGGGTGGACGAGGGGGGCAGGGAGGTGGAGGGGTTTTTGGTGATGGGTTAAGGGAGTGGTGGGCTGAGGCGGAGATTTTGGGTGTTGAACGACGGGGATGTGGGGGTGGAATGGTTATGAGGTTGGGGGCGGGACGGACTGAGGTGGTTTTTGTATGTGAATAAGGAGAATTGGAAACCCTAGGAGGCTTTGTAGGTACATATGGGGAGTGGTTTTGAATGTTGGACAGGACTCTGGACCGAGCTAATATGGGTGTGAGAGGAATAGTCTTCATTGCCAATTTTATTATGCCTGCAGAGTTTTCAGGTAGGTCTAATAGTGAAGGCAGGGATGGAAAACAAAGGGAAGTGTCACCATTTTCTCTTGATGGAGTGGCAGGGGGGACCCAGACTGCCTCTGAGCGGGCTGGGGATGAGGATGTTGGTGGTGGTGCTGCTACTGGTGATGATGACTTTGGAGGTGTTGATCTTTCGAGGCGGTGGAGGTGCAGAGACTTTTGGAGTCGGTGGAGATGGTTGTGTTGTTGCCGGAGAAGCACTTTGCTTCTTCCTCCCTTTCCATGGCTGCACGTACTGCGAAGGGTGAGGTCTCAGGACAAAAGCAAGGTCATCCATCAACACTTTTACTCCCGTAACAAGCGTTGGTTAGTTTTCAATCAACTGTAGTTTCTGTATTTCAAAAGTAATGTAGATACTGTGAGGGTAAAACACTCTCAGCTGAAAACTACCATAAAAACAACATGTATTTTCTTTGAACGGCAGATTCTATCAGGAAGATGTTTCTACAGTTGGCCTACAGTAGCTTCATAGGATTCCCAAATCTTCTGAAAGCTGCAAAGGTAATGATTAATTTGTACGGCTCCACAATACAATATAAATGTTAGCTTCATCTCCCGGTAACGGCTACTTATTAAACATGTCTGTGCCTTCTTTGTCAGAACAAAATAGAAATGATAAAGCAAGAGAAGGAGGCCATTGCAGAGAAGATGTTACGCACTCAGTTCAAGATGGAGATGATTGTGTACACCCAGGATCGGACCTACAGCTGCAGCCTACACGACCGAAACAAAGAAGACGCTGAGGACAGGCAGAGGACAGGCAGAACCAGAAGCATTATGTACTACATGGACAACAGTGCAACTCTCTATGAGCTGATGATGCATATTAAATCCTATTACCAAGTACGTTCAACTCAAAGATACTTTTCATAACGTTTGTTTTTATCATCATTTCTGATTCTTTTGAAAGTGTCTCTGTTGGATCCAGCTTTTGGCAGCGACACCTTCTGCATTTTCCTACTTGCTTAAACTCTATATTCCATCCATTCATTTTCTTCTGCTTCATCCGTTGCCGGGTCGCGGGGGCAGCAGTCTAAGCAGAGACGCCCAGACTTCCGGGGGACCCCAAGGCGCTCTGAGGAGCACAGGGACTGGACTCCTGTTAGTGCCCAGAGTCTGAACTAAACATGGGGAGGCAGCTTTTCAGATTCACGCTGCTAAAATCTGGAACAGTCTTCCTGAAGATGTGAGACAGGCCTCCTCTCTGACAATGTTTAAAACCAGGTTAAAAACAGTTCTGTTTAGCTGTGCTACAACTGAGGGATTTTATATTTTATATTTTTATCTTTCTTTTTAATGTTCTGTGATTATTTATGATTTTAATGCTTTCTTATTTTGTTCAGCACTTTGAGTTGCCTTGTGTATGAATTGTGATATACAAATAAACTTGCCTTGCCTTCCCGGGCCAGCTGAGAGACATAGTCCCTCCAGCGTGTCCTGGGTCTTCCCCGGTGGGACGTGCCTGGAACACCTCCCCAGGGAGGCGTCCGGGAGGCATCTGGAACAGATGCCCGAGCCACCTCAACTGGTTCCTCTCGACGTGGAGAAGCAGCGGCTCTACTCCGAGCTCCTCCCGTGTGACTGAGCTCCTCACCCTATCTCTAAGGGAGCAGCCACTCTGCGGAGGAAGCTCATTTCGACCGCTTGTATCCGCGATCTCGTTCTTTCGGTCATTACCCAAAGCTCATGACCATAGGTGAGGGAGGGAACGAAGATTGACCGGTAAATCGGGAGCTTTGCCTTTCGGCTCAGCTCCCTCTTTACCACAACGGTCTGATACAGCTCTGACTGCAGACGCTGCTCCCTCTTCCCCACGACAGTCCGATACAGCGACCGCATCACTGCGCACGCTGCACCAGATGTTGCGCATGCGGACTGGGTCGTCGAGGTCTCTGCCTTCGACTGCCGCCAAGTCCTCTCGCCACCGACCCGCCACGGATCCCTCTGTGGGTGGTGGGTCCACAGGAGGGCTTGCCCACATCGTCCTTTCGGGCTGAGCACGGCCGGGCCCCGTGGGCTAAGGCCCGGCCACCAGACACGCCGGCCGACGTCGCTTGATTTCTTTCAGTGCGATCTATGGTGGGTTTTGGACTGCGCTTCGTCTGACTTGTCACCTGAGACCTGTCTGCCATGGGAGACCCTACCAGGGGCATGAAGCCCCAGACAGCATAGCTCCCAGGATCATCCGTAAACTCTATATTTTCCCTTTTAAATGTATATAGGAGGATGTTCTACTTCCGGGTGGATCATCAAGACTATTGGTCCTCCCAAGTGTCAGTCATTCTGGTGATACGTGCTCGTCCAATAAGACCAGAGAGTTTAGTTTAGAAAGTGGAGAGAGCGGTTTTTTCTTAATGTTTGGGAAAATTCTCCAATAGACCTTTAAAGTAGCAATATGTGAGATTTTCATGTCAGGTCATCTTTAAATGGCCCTAATCTGTCATAATAATAAACTGCTCTTTTCCAATCCTTCTGATAACAGTAGTTCAAAGATATTATATTTTCAAGCCCCTAAATCTTGTTATTGTTTTCATTTCAATGTCCCGCCCTTCACCGTTTCACCAATCAGAAAGTCTGTGATCCGGGCGCCAGAACTCACCGCGTGGAGCTAATCTCACTGGTAAAGTACCATGTGGAGCTAAAAAAGGTCTCGTTATAATTCTCAAATCATTAACGACAAAACAAGGAATAAAACCAGGATTTCTATCTTTGTGAAAAAGGTGTTGGTTATAGATTTGTTGTTGACAAAACTCTTGTCTATTCAGCTGTTATGGTCCCAGCTGGATTCGTCTGCATATCTGGCAACCTGAGTCAGGGAGAGTGGGAGAGGCTGCAGTACCACTTTTGGCCACATGTTTACACACTTCTCCTTTAAAGCTGCACTAACTGACTTTGGGATTTTTAAGCAGCAGACTCGCTGGCCTCTCTCTTTCTGCTCCCCTCCCCGCACCCACGAAGCTATCGCCCCCCACACACACCCACTGTTGTTGACGGAGCTAGCGTCTCCCAATATGGATAATACATGGATATGGATTTGCACGTGGATGGCGTGACCATAGAACGATAGAACCGGGAAGCGCGGAGGAACGAGACTTTCTTTTGGATGGCTGTTTCGCTGTGTAAGCAGTAACCGGTGACGAAGACGAGGAAGCTTCAGGTTAGCTCCGCCGCTTGTTGTGCTAACTCAGCCGTCTATGCTAACGGACCTGTAGATTTCTCACGAAAGTGGGGGCTAGTGGTGCGCTGTGATTGGTCACAATCTGCGACCCGAAACACATTCGCTTCCTTGTTTCATCAAAACTCGATCTAAAATATAATGTCACACCAGCACAAATCTGCGATACTTTTTCTTCAAAAGGACGTTTATCCCAAAGCACTGCATGGACATGGATAGACTTTAGTAATGAATACGAAAATAAAGTCAGTTAGTGCAGCTTTAAGTCTGAAAAACTAATCTAATCTTCTTGCAAGTATAGAATGGCCTCTTCTCCACTGAACCTGCTTTAGATCCATTTTTCTTTTTCCGCCGTTATAAAAATGTCTCTCACACGTTCTGTTCTCCCGTTGTAGATTGTAAGTCAACGCCTGGCGGACCAGATTCCAATGGTCATTCGTTACCAGTTGCTGGAAGAGTTGGCCGTAGAGCTCCAGAGGCAGATGCTGCAGATGCTCCAAGACAAAGATAATGTGGAGTCTCTGCTCAAAGAAGATTACGACATCGGCTCCAAACGATTGGGATTACAGCATCGTCACAAGCGTCTCATGAAAGCTCGAGAATACTTGGTTTGCTTCTAGAATAATTCCATCTTTAATAAAAGAAAAATGCTGGATGAGGGTAAAGTAAGAGTTATTTCCTCAGTCAATGAAGAGGACGGGATTTGGGTTAATGTATGTTTTATCACTGCAAAAGACAGAATAAAGGCAAAAAAATGCTCAAATTTGGCTAAATGTATCTAAATTTGAGCACATTTTGACTGCCTTAAAACAAGATTTTCCAGTGGAACAAGAAAAATTGTCTTGTTTTAAAAAGATAAAGATATTTCTCTCTTGGAATGAGAAAATAAAGCAATAGTTCTTGAATCAAGTCAAAATTGCTTGTCTCATTGGCAAATCTCATTTTAAGACAGTCAGAATGAACTTAAGTCAAGTTAAAAAAACTCGATTCTAGTAATTATGATCTCATATTTGATCATTTTTTGCAGTGATCATATTCAGTTCTAGCGGTTAGCTTTGGTTATATCTGTACATCATAGTTTATGACATGTAACGGGAATGTGTCTTCACCATAGATGTGAGCACACTGGGTTTTCATCACACAATGTTAGAGTAACTTCAGAAAATATATTGTGGCATCATGTAGTTTACAAAGCACATTACAAAACCTTTTGGTGCTTTTGCTGTGTTCAACCTTTTAATAAACAAAGAATGCATAACAAGTAGTAGAAAGTTTCTTTTACTTCTAAGATGCAATTTTACACTATTCTAGAAAGTAAAAGTGTGTGAAGTATTATAATTACAGGACCGATTTTATTCATTTGAATGGGCAGTTATGAAATGGGACACTTAAGGTGAATAATCTAAAGATCCAATCCCTAATAGTAAAGTAAGTAGGTAATGTTTTATTTATATAGCACATTTCACAGACCAAGGTCAGACCCAAAGCACTTTCCAATGTTCAGAGTCAGATATTGTTCCAATCCTTCCACACAGGGTGATGACAGAAGCGAGTCCAGAACACACTGGACCATCAAAGCCTCCGACCCAACACCATCATTCACTCTCTCATTTACATTCAGACCTATTGTGCATGTTTTTAGTGGAAGGGGAAACCGGAGCACCCGGAGGAAATCTACGCAGACACGGGGAGAACAAGCAAACTCCACTCAGAAAGGACGTGTTCCGACTGTGATTCGAACCCAGGATCTTCTAGCTGAGAGGCGAGAGTGCTAACCACTCAGCCACTGTGCCGTCCTGTGTCCATCAGTAGAACTAGAAGATACTGTTTTATACATTAGTCCAGTTTCAGATTTTCAGATCCACATTATTATTTTACAGAGTAGAAGTGATTCCTTTCATTTCAAACCAATTCAAGTTTTTCTCAAGTTTAATTTATTGGAAAAAACCTTGAGGGAAGCCGTCTGTTTCACATTTTTCAAAGGTCCTTTCAATTTGTACTGATCTTTTTCCTCATGTTGTAAATGTGAATCTGTGGAGTTCATCTTTGTCTCTGACTTTTTGTTTTCTCTGAGTCACAGAATGATCCAATCAGAGCCTCATCTGATTTAACATTCAACAGCCAAAAATGTGTCTCTTTGATATGTCTGAGGTTGAAATCTTTTCCGCCCAAACTATGATAGTACATTTAGTTTTTGAGTTAGTAAGTAAGTTAGTAAGTTTTTATTTATATACCGCCTTTTCACTACAGATCTGAGTCTCAAAGCGGTTTACAATTGTTAATTTTGGGCATTTGTCTCTCACTCCACACAGAGATGGGAGGGGCCAGTACAGGAGGCACATGCCAGACCTATTGTACATATTTTTAGTGGTAGGGGAAACCGGAGTACCCGGAGGAAACCTACGCAGACACGGGGAGAACATGCAAACTCCACTCAGAAAGGCCCTGGTCCGACCGGGATTCGAACCCAGGACCTTCTTGCTGAGAGGCGAGAGTGCTAACCACTCAGCCACCGTGCCGAGTTATAACCTTTTTCGATGCAGTCAGTAATTGTTTTTATATTGTGGGAAAACGTCCCTAAACCCTAAAAGTATCAAGTTATGTGTTTTCAAATAGTATGCCTATAGTCTCCATAAATGAATAAAACATTTGAGCGAACCGATAAAAATAAACCAATGGAATGTGTTTACCCCTCCACACTCTTCCTGTTTCTAGTGATCGGATTTTCTAAAACTTAAAATGGCTGAACAGAAAATGCCAATTTCACGTTTGCTTCACTCTCCCTGTGACAAAGAAAAGAAAATGCTGGATGTTTGGTTTGTTGGAGAGGGAGGGGAGGGGGGGAGTGGTTTGGTGGAGAGGGAGGGGGGAGTGGTTTGGTGGAGAGGGAGGGGAGGGGGGAGTGGTTTGTTGGAGAGGGAGGGGGAGTGGTTTGGTGGAGAGGGGAGTGGTTTGTTGGAAAGGGAGGGGGGGAGTGGTTTGGTGGAGAGGGAGGGGGGGAGTGGTTTGGTGGAGAGGGAGGGGGGGGGGAGTAGTTTGGTGGAGAGGGAGGGGAGGGGGGAGTGGTTTGTTGGAGAGGGAGGGGGGAGTGGTTTGGTGGAGAGGGTGGAGTAGTTTGGTGGAGAGGGAGGGGAGGGGGGAGTGGTTTGGTGGAGAGGGAGGGGGGAGTGGTTTGGTGGAGAGGGAGGGGAGGGTGGAGTGGTTTGGTGGAGAGGGAGGGGAGGCTGGAGTGGTTTGGTGGAGAGGGAGGGGAGGGGGGAGTGGTTTGGTGGAGAGGGAGGGGAGGGGGGAGTGGTCTCCAGTTGGTGCTACGGCTAAGCTAACAAAATTACTTTATTACTTACTTACTGCATCTCAAGTCCAGATACATTAAAACTTTAAAACACTTGACTGAACACACTCACTTCTAATTCACAACAAAACTCCTCGCGACAAAGAAAAAGAACTTTATTCAAACATGTAAAATCACTCTCCACTAGTGCCAGGGCTTCCTTGGTCATTATCATCGTCCGACTTCTCGTCATCTACAAAAATCAACAATTGTAATAAATGACAGGAAGAGTTAAAACAGTGGCGTGGAAGAAAAGCCGACTGACCCTCGAGCGTCTGCTGAAGCTCCTGAATGGTGCTGAGGAGGACGTGGAACTGCTTCTTCCTCAGCTCCAACTGTAAAAATGAAGAATCCGTTTAAAGTATTCTGAGACGGCTGCATAGGATTGTTTTAATAGCTGCGTTTCCATTGAGCATCAAATTTCGAAATTTGAATTTGCGCATCATAAAATGTCTAATGGAAACGCGCAAATTTCGAATAAACCACAGTTTTTCGATAAAAAGTTGATGCGCTTAAAATCGGTGGTTTTTTGGACGTATCGAAATTAAGTTTTTCGCAAAACGGCGGCAATGGAAACACTTATTTCGATATAGCGGAGGAAGCCGAGCTGCTTTATTCAGTGAGTTTTGGCTGCGCTTCGTGTGGAGACTTGGGAGAGGCATGGGGGAGAGACGGGGGAGAGACGGGGAAGAGACGGGGGAGAGGCATGGGGGAGAGGCATGGGGGAGAGACGGGGGAGAGGCATGGGGAAGAGGCATGGGGGAGAGGCATGGGGGAGAGACGGGGAAGAGGCATGGGGGAGAGGCATGGGGGAGAGACGGGGGAGAGACGGGGAAGAGGCATGGGGGAGAGGCATGGGGGAGAGACGGGGAAGAGGCATGGGGGAGAGGCATGGGGGAGAGACGGGGGAGAGACGGGGAAGAGGCATGGGGGAGAGGCATGGGGGAGAGACGGGGAAGAGGCATGGGGGAGAGGCATGGGGGAGAGACGGGGAAGAGGCATGGGGGAGAGGCATGGGGGAGAGGCATGGGGGAGAGGCATGGGGAAGAGGCATGGGGGAGAGGCATGGGGGGGGAGAGGCATGGGGAAGAGACGGGGGAGAGGCATGGGGGAGAGACGGGGGAGAGGCATGGGGGAGAGACGGGGGAGAGGCATGGGGGAGAGACGGGGGAGAGGCATGGGGGAGAGACGGGGGAGAGGCATGGGGGAGAGACGGGGGAGAGGCATGGGGAAGAGACGGGGGAGAGGCATGGGGGAGAGGCATGGGGGAGAGACGGGGGAGAGGCATGGGGGAGAGGCATGGGGGAGAGACGGGGGAGAGGCATGGGGGAGAGACGGGGGAGAGACGGGGGAGAGGCATGGGGGAGAGACGGGGGAGAGGCATGGGGAAGAGACGGGGGAGAGACGGGGGAGAGACGGGGGAGAGGCATGGGGGAGAGACGGGGGAGAGACGGGGGAGAGGCATGGGGGAGAGACGGGGAAGAGACGGGGGAGAGACGGGGAAGAGACGGGGAAGAGACGGGGGAGAGACGGGGGAGAGACGGGGGAGAGACGGGGGAGAGACGGGGGAGAGGCATGGGGGAGAGACGGGGAAGAGACGGGGAGGAGACGGGGGAGAGGCATGGGGGAGAGACGGGGGAGAGGCATGGGGGAGAGACGGGGGAGAGGCATGGGGGAGAGACGGGGGAGAGGCATGGGGGAGAGACGGGGGAGAGAAATAGTGTATACTTATTCAAATATGTCTTAATGGAAACGGCCGCTTTTGCGAATTACAGGTTTTTCGAATTTTGAAATGTATCGAAAAAGTTTTTGCGCATTATTCAATGGAAACGCAGCTAATGATGGAAGTTTATGAACGCTTTACCTTTGCATCTACATTTTCCTTAATGTGAGACAGATGTTGAAGCTCTTTGTCCAATGCTTCCAACTGTCTGAAAAAAGGTTAAAAGGTCTTAGCATTTTATAACTCACACATTTCAGAAAGTCGTGAACAATACTTACTTCAGGGTTTCGTGTCTGTCCGGATGCTGTTGTATCACTTTGGCGAGAGCATCGTATTCTGCAAAGACCAAAGTATGAAAACTACACACTGCCAAAACACACGGGTTAGATTTTTGTGAAAGATGCAGAAGGTAAAACACAGCCTTGGTTTCTGATTCATCTGATTAAGGGTCATAGATCACGGAAGCCAAAATCCAGTGTCACAAAACTAAAATATTGTAAAATCCCAAGATGCACCACAAACGGTCTCCAGCCCGTCTTTTCTTAGTCTCTAGCCCGTCTCCAGCCCGTCTTTACTTAGTCTCTAGCCCGTCTCCAGCCCGTCTTTTCTTAGTCTCCAGCCCGTCTTTTCTTAGTCTCCAGCCCGTCTCCAGCCCGTCTCTAGCCCGTCTCTAGCCCGTCTTTTCTTAGTCTCCAGCCCGTCTCTAGCCCGTCTCTAGCCCGTCTTTTCTTAGTCTCCAGCCCGTCTCTAGCCCGTCTCTAGCCCGTCTTTTCTTAGTCTCCAGCCCGTCTCTAGCCCGTCTCTAGCCCGTCTCCAGCCCGTCTTTTCTTAGTCTCTAGCCCGTCTCCAGCCCGTCTTTTCTTAGTCTCTAGCCCGTCTCCAGCCCGTCTTTTCTTAGTCTCTAGCCCGTCTCTAGCCCGTCTCTAGCCCGTCTCTAGCCCGTCTCTAGCCCGTCTCCAGCCCGTCTTTTCTTAGTCTCTAGCCCGTCTCTAGCCCGTCTCCAGCCCGTCTCCAGCCCGTCTCTAGCCCGTCTCTAGCCCGTCTCCAGCCCGTCTCCAGCCCGTCTCTAGCCCGTCTCTAGCCCGTCTCTAGCCCGTCTCTAGCCCGTCTTTTCTCCGTCTCTAGTCCGTCTCTAGCCCGTCTCTAGCCCGTCTTTTCTTAGTCTCTAGCCCGTCTCTAGCCCGTCTCTAGCCCGTCTCTAGCCCGTCTCTAGCCCGTCTTTTCTTAGTCTCTAGCCCGTCTCTAGCCCGTCTTTTCTTAGTCTCTAGCCCGTCTCTAGCCCATCTCTAGTCCGTCTCTAGCCCGTCTCTAGCCCGTCTTTTCTTAGTCTCTAGCCCGCCTTTTCTTAGTCTCTAGCCCGTCTTTTCTTAGTCTCTAGCCCGTCTCTAGCCCGTCTCTAGCCCGTCCCCAGCCCGTCTCTAGCCCGTCTCTAGTCCGTCTCTAGCCCGTCTCTAGCCCGTCTCTAGCCCGTCTCTAGCCCGTCTCTAGCCCGTCTCCAGCCCGTCTCTAGCCCGTCCCCAGCCCGTCTCTAGCCCGTCTCTAGCCCGTCTCTAGCCCGTCTCTAGCCCGTCTCTAGCCCGTCTCCAGCCCGTCTCTAGTCCGTCTCTAGCCCGTCTCCAGCCTGTCTCTAGTCCGTCTCCAGCCTGTCTCTAGCCCGTCTCCAGCCTGTCTCTAGTCCGTCTCTAGCCCATCTCTAGCCCGTCTCCAGCCCGTCTTTTCTTAGTCTCTAGCCCGTCTTTACTTAGTCTCCAGCCCGTCTCTAGCCCGTCTTTTCTTAGTCTCTGGCCCGTCTTTACTTAGTCTCCAGCCCGTCTCCAGCCCGTCTCTAGCCCGTCTTTTCTTGTCTCTAGCCCGTCTCCAGCCCGTCTCTAGTCCGTCTCTAGCCCGTCTATTCTTAGTCTCTAGCCCGTCTTTACTTAGTCTCCAGCCCGTCTCCAGCCCGTCTCCAGCCCGTCTCCAGCCCGTCTCCAGCCCGTCTCCAGCCCGTCTTTACTTAGTCTCCAGCCCGTCTCTAGCCCGTCTCCAGCCCGTCTCCAGCCCGTCTCCAGCCCGTCTCTAGTCCGTCTCTAGCCCGTCTCCAGCCCGTCTTTACTTAGTCTCTAGCCCGTCTCCAGCCCGTCTCCAGCCCGTCTCTAGCCCGTCTCCAGCCCGTCTCTAGTCCGTCTCTAGCCCGTCTCCAGCCCGTCTTTACTTAGTCTCTAGCCCGTCTCCAGCCCGTCTCTAGCCCGTCTCTAGCCCGTCTCTAGCCCGTCTCTAGCCCGTCTTTTCTTAGTCTCTAGCCCGTCTCTAGCCCGTCTCTAGCCCGTCTCCAGCCCGTCTCCAGCCCGTCTCTAGTCTGTCTCCAGCCCGTCTCTAGTCAGCCTAGGTCAGCCTTTATCAATTGATGTCTTGTCATATCCAGAATTAGCATTTCCCTCCCAAGTGTATACTTAAAAATTCGAAAACATTGCCTCATTTTTCAATGTTAGCAAACTCATCAGCACAACCTTAAAGTGAAGGGCATTTTACCTTGGCGATTTTTTCGTATTCTTTTAGCCCTTTGAATTTCCTTTTTGCATTCAGCTATTTTCTCGTGTGCAGATGTGATGTTTTGTTCTAGAAAGAAACAGATGTAAATAACATGCAGACCAGAAGATTCTATTACATTATTTGATGAGATTATACATTACAACTCTTAAAAGACACTTTGTAAATACCTATGTTCGTGTAAATTGTCTCATAGTTTTCCATTTCTCGAAGATTCATGTCATACACCATCAAGGTCTTCCCCATTGAAAACTCACACTGGGCCAAAGTTCCCAGCATCCTCTGGTAATGTGTGAATCTGCACAAAACATCAATAATACTTTAGTTTTATCTAGTGTTTTTTTTGACGCTCAAAGACATTGCACATTATAGCATTCATTCCCTCCATAACAGTGGTGATAAACAACTACTGAAGCCACAGCTGCCCTGGGACACACTGATAGGAGCGGAGCATTCAGTATGTACCATCAGCCCCTCCCACCTCTCCCGCACACAGACTCATTCTACTGAGGGTGAAGTGTCTTGCTCAAGGACGGTTCGGCATGTAACAGTCGCCCCCCTGTGGCAGCTGGTGAGAGTGTTAGACTGACCCTTCCTCTGGGCTGCTGGGAGTGTTAGACTGACCCTTCCTCTGGGCTGCTGAGAGTGTTAGACTGACCCTTCCTCTGGGCTGCTGAGAGTGTTAGACTGACCCTTCCTCTGGGCTGCTGAGAGTGTTAGACTGACCCTTCCTCTGGGCTGCTGAGAGTGTTAGACTGACCCTTCCTCTGGGCTGCTGAGAGTGTTAGACTGACCCTTCCTCTGGGCTGCTGAGAGTGTTAGACTGACCCTTCCTCTGGGCTGCTGAGAGTGTTAGACTGACCCTTCCTCTGCTGACAGTGTTAGACTGACCCTTCCTCTGGGCTGCTCAGAGTGTTAGACTGACCCTTCCTCTGGGCTGCTGAGAGTGTTAGACTGACCCTTCCTCTGCTGAGAGTGTTAGACTGACCCTTCCTCTGGGCTGCTGAGAGTGTTAGACTGACCCTTCCTCTGCTGAGAGTGTTAGACTGACCCTTCCTCTGCTGAGAGTGTTAGACTGACCCTTCCTCTGGGCTGCTGAGAGTGTTAGACTGACCCTTCCTCTGCTGAGAGTGTTAGACTGACCCTTCCTCTGCTGAGAGTGTTAGACTGACTCTTCCTCTGGGCTGCTGAGAGTGTTAGACTGACCCTTCCTCTGGGCTGCTGAGAGTGTTAGACTGACCCTTCCTCTGGGCTGCTGAGAGTGTTAGACTGACCCTTCCTCTGGGCTGCTGAGAGTGTTAGACTGACCCTTCCTCTGGGCTGCTGAGAGTGTTAGACTGACCCTTCCTCTGGGCTGCTGAGAGTGTTAGACTGACCCTTCCTCTGGGCTGCTGAGAGTGTTAGACTGACCCTTCCTCTGGGCTGCTGAGAGTGTTAGACTGACCCTTCCTCTGCTGAGAGTGTTAGACTGACCCTTCCTCTGGGCTGCTGAGAGTGTTAGACTGACCCTTCCTCTGGGCTGCTGAGAGTGTTAGACTGACCCTTCCTCTGGGCTGCTGAGAGTGTTAGACTGACCCTTCCTCTGGGCTGCTCAGAGTGTTAGACTGACCCTTCCTCTGGGCTGCTCAGAGTGTTAGACTGACCCTTCCTCTGCTGAGAGTGTTAGACTGACCCTTCCTCTGGGCTGCTGAGAGTGTTAGACTGACCCTTCCTCTGGGCTGCTCAGAGTGTTAGACTGACCCTTCCTCTGCTGAGAGTGTTAGACTGACCCTTCCTCTGGGCTGCTGAGAGTGTTAGACTGACCCTTCCTCTGGGCTGCTGGGAGTGTTAGACTGACCCTTCCTCTGGGCTGCTGAGAGTGTTAGACTGACCCTTCCTCTGGGCTGCTCAGAGTGTTAGACTGACCCTTCCTCTGGGCTGCTGAGAGTGTTAGACTGACCCTTCCTCTGGGCTGCTGAGAGTGTTAGACTGACCCTTCCTCTGGGCTGCTCAGAGTGTTAGACTGACCCTTCCTCTGGGCTGCTCAGAGTGTTAGACTGACCCTTCCTCTGGGCTGCTCAGAGTGTTAGACTGACCCTTCCTCTGGGCTGCTGGGAGTGTTGCACCATTTGACGAATCCTTTCAAGAGCACGTTAATCCGTCGGTCATCTCCTGCTCCGTCCCCGTCAATAAGAAGCCGCTTCCGAATCACTTCATCTGCAAACGGAAAGAAAAACACAGTTGAGAAGTTAAATAGCAGCTTACACACGCACAATGAATGTTAGCATAAGTTGGCTAGCTGCGTTAGCCTGCTGCCGCGTGGGGGTGGTGACGTCTCGCATTTAAGTTTTGGCGCCAAAGCTTTAGAACACTACAGCAGTGAACATTAAAACGGTAAGATGTGTGTCTATAGAATTGGGAAACGGTGTCAGGAATACCCAGCAGTGAAACATTTACCATCAGTAACAGCTCCCATGTTTACAGCCTGGCTCTGCTGTGTCTACGGATGTGTGTCACGACCACTACCGCCCCCTAGTGGTGTGGACACGGCCGCAGCAGCTTCTTCTTCGCCTTCTTCTTTTTGTTCTTCTTCTGTGGTTTAAGGGCGGTTGGCAACAATTTAAAATGAACAATACCGCCTCCTACTGAGTGTGGGCTACACGGTGGCTCACAAACTACAACTGATTTAAAAAACATCATTTGTCTCTTATATAAAACAATATATAAAAAACTTTGACTAAATCTATGCTCTATCATAAACCTCTGTGCCCTTTAGAAACCCCACCAGTTCCCCAACCTGCATCCTACCCATTGACTACCCTGACACTCCAGCACACACTTTTTCACACTAAAGGGTACAAAAGTATTCTTTTTATTTATTTATTTATTTATTTATTTATTTATTCAGCCATGACATTATTACAATCATAATGAAAATAATAAGAACACAAATACTTCAATTCCATTACATGTTGCTGAATAGGAGCATGTGGAAGACAAAGTCTTATGTTTGATGCCCCTTAACACATACAGTATTTAGTTTACAGATTAAAAATGGGATGGCACGCCTTTATATGTTTATTATCATTATTATTATTTTAAATGTATATTATTATTACATATTATTGTATGTATTAAATTAAATTGTTTTAAATGTATAATAAAAACAACATGAGGCGACAGTGGCTCAGTTGGTAGAGCATTGGCCTTTGGGCCTGAATGTCGTGGGTTCGAGCCATGGATCTATTATAATAACGGTTCAAGCCATGGATCTATTATAATAACGGTTCAATCCCACTATGAGACGCACTGATGACTGCTGTCATGGAAGCCCCTGATGGAAGATCAGAGCTCTTGTGGACTCACCACCTGCAGAAGGATCTGTGCAAGTGGACTGGGTGCGGCTCTGATGGCCACCCCCCTGACCCAGAAATGGATTAAGGGAAAGAAAATGGATGGATGGATAAAAACAAAGTTCCTTGGATATGACATCACTGCAGAAATGACTGATGACGTTTACAGTTACAGACAGAGGTGTATGACCTGTGGACTCACTGCTTCCTACAATGACGCTTTTTGAGTTATAGACTAGACTAGACTTTTGAGGAAGCTTCTGATGGACCAGTGCCTCTGAACTGTCACCTCATGAGTGAATACTTTACAGTCTGTGCTGAGGACCTTATCATAAATAAAATCTTTTAAAAAACTGTCTTTAACCTGGATTAAAACATTGTCAGAGAAGAGGCCTGTCTCACATTTTCAGGAAGATTGTTCCAGATTTTAGCTGCAGAAATCTGAAATGCAGCCTCCTCATGTTTAGTCCTGACTCTGGGACCAGCAGGAGGCCAGTCCCTGTGCTCCTCAGAGTCCCAGCAGGAGTCCAGTCCCTGTGCTCCTCCGAGTCCCAGCAGGAGGCCAGTCCCTGTGCTCCTCAGAGTCCCAGCAGGAGGCCAGTCCCTGTGCTCCTCAGAGTCCCAGCAGGAGGCCAGTCCCTGTGCTCCTCAGAGTCCCAGCAGGAGGCCAGTCCCTGTGCTCCTCAGAGTCCCAGCAGGAGGTCAGTCCCTGTGCTCCTCAGAGTCCCAGCAGGAGGCCAGTCCCTGTGCTCCTCAGAGTCCCAGCAGGAGGCCAGTCCCTGTGCTCCTCAGAGTCCCAGCAGGAGGCCGGTCCCTGTGCTCCTCAGAGTTTCAGTTGGTTTTATGGCACTAACATGTCACAGATGTACCTTGGACTGTAGTTGAAATGTGATGTGATGAAAGTTTTGGTTTCTAGTTTTGTGACAGTCAGAGCTGCACCCAGTCCACAGAGCACCAGGCCCTCACTGATCCTCCTGGTCCTCACTGATCCTCCTGGTCCTCCTGGTCCTCACTGATCCACCTGGTCCTCCTGCTCCTCCTGCTCCTCCTGCTCCTCCTGGTCCTCACTGATCCTCTTGCTCCTCCTGCTCCTCCTGCTCCTCACTGATCCTCCTGCTCCTCCTGATCCTCCTGCTCCTCCTGGTCCTCACTGCTCCTCCTGCTCCTCACTGATCCTCCTGCTCCTCCTGCTCCTCACTGATCCTCCTGCTCCTCCTGCTCCTCCTGCAGGTGCTGAGTCCACAAGAGGACAACTCCATCAGAATATTAAACAAAGGGCTCTTTGGAATGTCGTTTCATACTTGTTTTGTACTTGTAAACAACCACATCTGAAAATATTTGTTATAAATACATAAAAAGAGGCTACAGGCAGTGGGAACGCAAACTGTACATTACATACTTATTCATTTAGTGTTAGTTTTTGGTCTTTTAAATGAAAAACCGCAGGGACAGGGGAGGCATTATGTGATGTCCCAGAATGAACAGCAACACCTGAACTGTTTGAGCAAAATGTCAGCTTTTCACGAGGACAAAACATTGATGTGTTTACTTCCTATTGTTTTTTTGAGTCCGCTTTAGCCTTTTTGTCGACCAAATTAGTTTTGCAGCATGCCATTTCAGAACAAAAGTGCACTTGGACAGACAACGGGATTGGACAGCCACAACGCAGCATGGAGTTATTCCCAGTAGATCCAGCAAGAGTTCCTCCAAGAGCCATCCTCTGAACTACCTCAGGTCCGAGGCCCTAAAGTTACACGGACGCTTCATCCCAACAACTCATGTCTTTTTATAATTTAACTTGGCGAACATGAAATGGACTCATTGAACTGTGGATTGCAGATTGCGTGTCTTTACTCTGCTTATTCAAGAAGGAGCGATCGACTCCCGTGGCCCGACAGGCCAAACGTGTCCAGGACTGATGCTGATCCATCTACAGAGACAGTTCTACAAAGTCCAGGCCCATCCAGGCCCATCCAGGCCAGATGGGGAGGTTTAGATCACAGGTCCAGACCGAGGCATCAGGTGTTAAGGGTCGACGCTAGTCTAAAGGAGAAAAACTCCAAATATGTGAAATTAATGAATATCAATGAAAGAACTAGGTCCATTTATAGGTTTGGCTTAAAGTATAAAGATTTTTTTCTGTAAAATAAAGCTTCAAAAAACATTTGTCAGATGTCTATGTTTGTAAACCTGGACACGTCTCTCCAAAAAAAAAAAATACGACACTTGGATTTAGGTTCACACATTGAAAGCAATCAAACAAAATCACAACAGCAGTTGTCTCAGGACATTTCTGTCTCACATTTAGGATGTATTTGTCTCTTTGTGTGGTGCAGACTAATGTCCCAGGGCAGCTGCAGATGCCTGTGCCCACAGAGTACCATTGGCCTCTTGTCTGCTCCAGATTAGTACAGTCTCTTGGTTGGTTTAGCAGTCGGCCATACTCTTTCTATTTTCCGGTGATGGACAGAACATGACAAGATAATACTGAGTTTAAATACTTATGCAAACAAACTACTTCAGACAAATGTTGGTGTTTTTTAATTAATTAAGTTGTTTACCATTTTTGATCTAACATAATGGTCTGCCACTATTGTGATAGTCGGCTGGGGGTGAGAGTCATGTTTGCATGGCAGTAGTCTGGGGCTCAGGGGGTCAGGTGGCAGCAGTAGGAGATGGGTTTGAGACCCTGCCCTTCTCCCTGATGATGCTTCTCCAGCAGACCGTGGAAAAAACATTAACACTGTAGTTTACAACTATATCACAGTTACATGGCACAGGCTGTCAACCTTCTTATTTGTATTATTATTCTTCTGGCTTTCACTCTTCTGACGTGAGCGAGCACGTTCCCTGCGCGGTGTCGTCATGGTCCCAGAATGCAGTCTGGTAAACAGACATGGACGCACCAGGAGGAGACCTCCACAGAGGCTGAGCCCACTATTCGCTTTCCCACCGCCTGAGTCTCTGATCCGGTGCAGCCTGTTGGTTCTTTGGTGTCTGGAGTCTCAGTCCATCCTCTTCTGCGTCTCCACAGGTCAGAGCCAGTTACTGTCATTTCAGACTGATGCTTGTTTGTGCTGCTGTCAGGTGACGCTGGCCCTTTACAGAGCTATGGGCTCAGCTAGCATGCTAATGCTAATGCTAATGCTAATGCTAATGCTAATGCTACTGAAGGCTACGTCCGTCTGCACTCACAAAGATCAATTTAACAAACGACTGTATTTCACACAATCCATTTTATTTGACTTGAGTGATGTCTGACGTGTCATAACCCAGGCCATGGTCCAGTGAGTATCACAGGGACTGTATCACAGGGACAGTATCACAGGGACAGTATCACAGGGACAGTATCACAGGGACAGTATCACAGGGACAGTATCACAGGGACAGTATCACAGGGACTGTATCACAGGGACAGTATCACAGGGACAGTATCACAGGGACAGTATCACAGGGACTGTATCACAGGGACAGTATCACAGGGACAGTATCACAGGGACAGTATCACAGGGACTGTATCACAGGGACAGTATCACAGGGACAGTATCACAGGGACTGTATCACAGGGACTGTATCACAGGGACAGTATCACAGGGACAGTATCACAGGGACAGTATCACAGGGACAGTATCACAGGGACAGTATCACAGGGACTGTATCACAGGGACAGTATCACAGGGACTGTATCACAGGGACTGTATCACAGGGACAGTATCACAGGGACAGTATCACAGGGACTGTATCACAGGGACAGTATCACAGGGACTGTATCACAGGGACAGTATCACAGGGACAGTATCACAGGGACAGTATCACAGGGACTGTATCACAGGGACAGTATCACAGGGACTGTATCACAGGGACTGTATCACAGGGACTGTATCACAGGGACTGTATCACAGGGACAGTATCACAGGGACAGTATCACAGGGACTGTATCACAGGGACCGTATCACAGGGACTGTATCTGTAAAAAGAATGAACAGCGTCTTAGGGCTGAATCTCTGGCATCTAAGCTCCAAGACAACACCTGCAGTGACTTTTGGAAGGAGATAAGAATGATGAGTAACAGCAACACCTCCCTCCCTTCGGTTGTGGATGGAGTGAGTGGCTCACAAAATATTTGTCAATTATGGAAAGAATTTTACTTTGATCTCTTTAATTGTATTAAGGGAAAAGCTCCCATTGTAGGTTCTATTTTAAACAATGCAGGTTCAATAGTAACGCCACAAGAGGTTTTTAATGTTGTCCACAAACTCAAAAGTAAAAAGTCATGTGGCTCAGATAATATCACATCTGAACACCTCAAATTTGCAAGTAAGAATATGTACCCTCTGCTGGCCCTGTGTTTCACTGGATTCATGGTTCATGGTAGTCTGCCTGAATCTCTTCTGTCAGTTCTGCTGGTCCCTGTTATTAAAGACAAAGCAGGAAAACTGACTAGCTCAGCTAACTATCGTCCTATAGCTTTGGCTAGCATCGTTTCCAAAGTTCTTGAGACTGTGATTTTAAATAGACTTGAACCTTTTTTAAGTACAACTTTTAACCAGTTTGGTTTTAAATCTGGCCATGGTACAGACACTTGTATTTTTGTACTGAAGGAACTTTTAGATAAATATCATTGTCAGGGCTCTACAATGTTTGTGTGTTTTCTAGATGCCTCCAAGGCTTTTGACAGAATTGATCATGAGAAATTGTTTTCGAAACTGTCAAAGCGTGGAGTTCCTGGGTATCTGATCAGACTGCTTATTTTTTGGTATTCGGAGCAGACCATGCAGGTGAAATGGGGGGAGGCTCTTTCTGACTCCTTCAGAGTCTCTAATGGGGTTCGTCAGGGCGGGATTCTCTCTCCCATGTTGTTTAATGTGTACATGGATGACCTGTCGGTGCAACTGAACACCTGTACCACAGGATGCAGTGTTGGTTACAGCAGATATAATCACCTCATGTACGCAGACGATCTGGTGGTGTTCAGTCCCTGCAGTGCTGGTCTTCAGCAACTACTTAATGTGTGCTCTCAATATGGTTTGGATCATAATATCAAATATAACGCTGCAAAAAGCCTGGTAATGATTGCGCGTACTAAAGATGACAGTAAATTATGTTTTCCTGATTTTTTCCTTTCCGGAAACCTTTTGGAATCTGCAGATGAGGTGAAATACCTCGGTCACTACATCACCAGTGACCTTTCTGATGACAAGGACATGCACAGGCAGCTGTGTCAGTTATATGGCCAATCAAATATGCTGCTACGTAAGTTTAGTATGTGCTCTCCTGAGGTAAAGGTAACTCTTTTTAAATCTTACTGCTCACCTATGTACACTGCTTACCTTTGGAAGAGTTTTAAAAAGTCCAGTTTGCAGAAACTCACTGTGGCCTATAACAACTCCTTGAGGCTGCTGCTGAAGGTTCCTCGGCACAGCAGCGCAAGTGAGATGTTTGCTTACTGTGGTGTTCGATCTTGTTCTGCATCTCTTCGAAATGTTCAGTTCAGATTTATGTGTCGTCTGAGGAACTCTATTAATGTGATTGTTAAGACTCTCGTCAGCCCCGAGTTCTGCTCACTGCTGTTCACCTCCAAATTATGGACTTACTGGAGGTTATGCCTTTATACTGTTCAGCAGCTGTAATGTTCTCTTTGGTTTGTTTTCTTGTATATATTTTTTCTTTGGTTTTTTAACTATGGACCGTGTTGAATTGTGTCCTTAATAAAGATTAATAATAATAATATCACAGGGACAGTATCACAGGGACAGTATCACAGGGACTGTATCACAGGGACCGCAGCTGCTGCTGACCTGGAACTACTGCCCCTTTTACAAATGGGAAAGAGTTGATTATAATGTGAATATTGAACCTAAAGGCTGTACAATAACAATAACTGTGATGCCAGTAAAGCTTTAATGTTTTGACTGTTTCCAGGGCATCCCCGTGCATTAAAGGACTGAAGGCCATATGATCATTTACAGAGGGATTAAAGTAGTTTTCACTTTCAGTAACCTGTTTTAACTTGCTACAACTGAACAGAACCTGCACAGCATTTGTTTATAACAGCTACAAACTTACTTCAAAGACAATTGTTGAAAATGGTTTTACATCAAAAACTCAGTGTTTTTGTGTCAAAATGATCCTGATACTTGTTCTGATTCTGATGTCATTATTCTGCTGCTGTGTTGGGTACAAACATATATTATTACAAATAACAGAAATATAATGTTTCTGGAGTTATGCAGGGCTGGTTAAATCAATGCATCAATTATCAACACTTGAATCCATGACATTGGCGTAGGGAATGTGAAAATGTATTCAATTAGTTGGTTAAAAGCCTTTGTCTTTGTTTATTTTGTATTAATAAAGTAGCTGTTCCTGTTAATTCTCCATATTACATCCTAAGAGCTGTCAAGCCGGTGTTCTGTCGATCAGGTCGAAAGTGGATAATAATGGAAAATGAATGTATCGTACTATATAAATACTACAATACTGTGTTCAAACCAAATATTTTGTTAGAGCATGGTTTTAAAATTATGTCAGGTTTCGGATTTCTGACATCGGATTTGTTTTCTCTTCACCGACAGGAAACCACAAAATACACATCAGGGCACGACATTAACGGTTGTCCGGGGCAACTAGAGATTTGGGTTTGACAAGTTTCCGATCGTAGTGTTTAGCTCACATTAGTATTACTTCAACCCATTCAGGCCCGGGACGCACTCCCGCGATGAGGGTTGAGAATGTCTGTGAAATGTGTGACCGCGGGCACTTGTTTGCTTTACGTACCCAAACAGGATTCCACATTCTCCGTTCTGACCCGGGGCAGCTGCGGCCGCTCTGTAATGACAGCGCTTCCTGTGAACATGCTTGTACCGAGCGCGGACCATAGACACGTGGACGGGACCATCCCCAGCTTGTGGCCAGGGCGTGTCTCCCCCCGTGTCTCCCCCGTGTCTCCCCCGTGTCTCCCCCGTGTCTTAGAGCCCTGCACGGGCCTATTATCTGGGCCCGAGCCCGGCCCTGGCCCGAGGGGGTGGCGCCCCAGCCCGGCCCGGCCCGATATGGTTTCTGAATTTTCAGGCCCGAAACCCGCATCAAGCCCGCCTTTTTTTTTTTTTTGTAACCTCCCATAACAATGTTTTAGCGTAGTATATAGTGCCGCGCACTGATATGAACGCAGACTTAGCTAGAGGGCGGAGTTATACATGGTAGTGATGTGTTGCAATGAGTTCTGTGTGTGCGGAGTGAACGGCCGCATCTGTATGATGCCCCCGATGCTGCAACACATCTGCACATTACATAAGTAATGCTATGTGCCGTCAATGACAACACTACACAGAACAACAAACACTACTGCGTGATAGAACGCTATATTCAGTGGGTGCGTTCGTAAATGTATTCTGCCGCTCTGAAAATGAAGAGCCCGAGCCCGGCCCGTGTCCGAGGTCATTATGCGGTCATCGGCCCGAAGCCCGGCCCTCGGGCTGTCGGGCCGTCGGGGCCCTCGGGCCAAGGGCTCAAGTACAGCGCTCTACCGTGTCTCCCCCGTGTCTCCCCCCGTGTCTCGGCCGAAGCGCAACCAAAGATTAAAGCTAGAGTACCTAAATTTTCACATTATTAAGAATCAACAGTGTAACAGCAGATGTTCCTCTAACCGGCACGGTGGCTGAGTGGATAGCACTCTCGCCTCTCAGGAAGAAGGTCCTGGGTTCGAATCCCAGTCGGACCAGGGCCTTTCTGAGTGGAGTTTGCATGTTCTCCCCGTGTCTGCGTAGGTTTCCTCCGGGTGCTCCGGTTTCCCCTACCACTAAAAATATGTCCAATAGTTCTGGCATGTGCTTCCTGTACTGGCCCCGTTCCCATCTCTGTGTGGAGTGAGAGACAATTGCCCAAAAAATTAACAATTGTAAACCGCTTTGAGACTCAGATCTGCAGTGAAAAGGCGGTATATAAATAAAGATTACTTACTTACTAACCATATTTTTGTATTCACTGTGATTAACAGAATTGTAGCGTGAACAATTTGGATTTCTAATAACTGTC